AAAAGTTTTTTTTTTTTTGGAATAAACAAGATTTCATCATGAATGAGAATAATTTCATTTCAATAAAAGGAATACAATTAATTAATGAACTTAACAAGATTACAATATTTAAAAATATCTAAAATACACACATACACACACACGCACACACACATACATACACACATACAGACATACATATAACATATACAAAATAATTTATGTTAAAAGGAAAGAATAATGATTAAAAATAGAAAGATATAAAATAAGAAATGAAATTGCACTAAGTAAATTGAAATAAGAATAGGAAATAGAAGAAAGGAATAGGAAAGAAATTGAAAAAAAAACAATAAATAAAAAACCTTTCGTCCATTTTCATTATTTTTCAGCAAAAAAAAACACATTTATCACATGCACCATCCAATTGCTAAATGATTATTAATCATTAAACTACAAAATGTTTTTTTCTTTTAAATTTTCGAAGGAATTGATTAATTACCTAAATTTCCCTTTCAATTTTATCAAATTTTATTTTTTAGGAAAAAAAAAAAAGAAAGAAAAGGAACGAAAAGAAAAAACGATGAAACTTATTTACCAATGGATTTTTTTTTTTTTTTTTGCACAAAAAAAACCATTTATAACTATCGATTATTTAAAAAATTAAAAAAGGTTATTAGATAAAATTTCAAAAAACTTAAACCCTCCTTTTCAGTTTATAAAGTTTCAGAAAAAAGAATTGAAAAATTTAATTAGTTGATAAATTTAAATGTATGTTCAAAAAAAAAAGAAAAAGGAAAAAAAAATTTTTTTAATAAAATGAAAATATTTCATAAATTAAAACATTTCAGAAATTAATTAAATTTGAATTATTTAATTCGTTCATTTGAAAAAACAAAAAGTAAAATTCAAAATGAAATGAAAATTTCATTTATTTTTAATTTCAAAAAAAAAATAAATAAATGAATAAAATTTTCACTATTACTATACAACGAATATTCTAACCTAATGAATTATTAGTAAAAACTTTTACATCTGTTTAAGTTGTAATTTTAGTACAACTTATTGATAGATTGTTATGTTTATGTCTCATTCTTTTTGTTTGTTTATTTTTTTTTAAACATTCGTTTTTTTCTTTTTTTTTACTATGGTTTTTTTTGTTTTTTTTTTTTGTTGAGTTAAAAATGTTAAAAATATTTATGAGAAAAAAAAAAGTTTTTTTTTTAATTATTTTAGAAGTTTTTTCTTTTTTTTGTTTAATTAATAGTTTAATGAGTGGAAATGATTAGAAAAATATGAAAATGAGAAATAAATAATAATTAATCCAATGAATTAATTAATTATTGGATGTAAAAAGATTGCAATTAAAGGATTTGTCTTATTTTAATTTTTTATTTTTATTTTTATTTTTAATAAAAATGATATGAAATTCATGCAATCTTACTATTTTGTATATAAAAAGTGTCACCAATTTTCAACAAACATTTTTTAATAATGGACAAATGGAAGAAGAATGAAGTACACAGACAGACACATACATACACATGCACACAGACAGAGACATACACACCTGTATATATATATATATATATATACATCCACATGCACACATACACACATAGATACAGACATAATCAGACATACACACACATGCACATACATACACATGAACACATGTGGCTACACACATATATGCACATATATCACATACATACGCATGCATCACATACTCAATGTATACACGCATTCACACGTATATCACATACACACGTATACACACTTACGCACATACATCACGTGCACACGTATATAAGTATGCAAACATGCATACACACATACACACTTATATACATACACTACACGTACACGCGTATACACATACACAGACATACACACATGCATACAAATATGCTTAAATGCTATGTTATGCTAGAAATAATAGGAAAATACTATAGTATTATAAATATAAACGGTATAAATAAATAATTTAGTACAAATAATCAAGTACCTAAATACTAGAAATAATAGAAAAGAATGTTTCCATTTTCTAGCCGTTTATAATGAAAGTAAGGAATTTTTCCAAAAATATAACTTAAATAAAATGAAAAGTACTAAAAGGACAAAATACTTTAACAATCAATAAAAGGATATTATGAATGTTAGAGGAAAAAGTATTAATATATGATTAATAAAAAAGTAATTGAATTTTTTTTATTTATTAATAAAACAATAATTGAAAACAGGAAACAGTAAACAATAATATTCTTATTCATTAATAAAACAGTAATTGAATAACAAAATAATTTTGCAAAGCCATAAGCAACAATTTAATCAATTAATAAACATTTAAATTTTTGTAATTTTTAATTAAAAATAAATTATTTAACAAAACACAAACAACTCCATTGCTTTCTTTTAATTCTCGGAGAAAAAAGAGAAATAAATTTAATTAATGAATAAAATTACAAAAAAATGAATGAATGAGCAGAAAAAAAATTAAAAGAAATTGAAAAAAAAATGAATGAATGAAAAATTGAGCAATACCACCAAAAATTGCACATTTACATAAACAAAAGTTATTAGCAATTCTTAAAAAGGAATCTAATTAATTAATCAAAAACACAATTACTAATTATGAAAATATTCGAAATGATTGAAGAGAAAAAATTATTTAAATGATGATTGCTGAGATAAATAGAAATTATTAGGGATATAATAAATGAATGTGATTATTTAAGTTTAATTAAATATAGCTAAAAGCATAGGCGGATGTTGTATGGCGGAAAATGTCGAACAGACCTATACATATATGGCTTGCTTAAGTGATGCATTAAATATGAAAAAAAAAAAATGCTTCTTTTCACTAACTACTTAAAAAATATAAGAATTAAAAATCTTTTTTCTTTCTCTTCCAATATTTTCCAAATAAATGAAGCGAAGGAAATTTTTAGAGTTTTATTAAAAAAGGTTGAAAAGGAGAAAGGCAGAAAAATGTAAAGAGAATATGATAAATACTGGGAATTTATCAAAATTGTTGCTTAAATATATACATATGTTTGCTGAAAATTTTAAATTTAAAAAAAAAATTTTTTTCTTAAACAAATTTAGCAAATTTTCAGAAAATTATTTTATGTTTGAATTAACGATAATTCAAATAGTAATAGAAGCAACAACAATAATGATAATAATAATAATAATAATTAATAATGGTAATAATAATAATAATAATAATAATAATAATAATAATAATAATAATAATAATAATAATAATAATAATAATAATAATAATAATAATAATAATAATAATAATAATAATAATAATAATAATAATAATAATAATAATAATAATAATAATA